GGGTACTTTTATAGTACTTTTCTATGAAAAATGACTCAAACCGATTAGTCGACTACTAAAATAGTCACCAATTATTTTAATAGTCGATTAGTCATCGATTAGTCGACTAATCGTGGCAGCCCTACGTGTGTTTAAACTGTGTTTAACGTAAACAAGAGACGTTATAGTACGTGTACATGTCAAATAATCATATGAAAGATTTGAAGTTTTTACTCAGGATTTTTTGAAAAATATCCGAACGGACGAGGGATCTAAGTGTTGCAGGAAAATGAAACACAGTTCGAATAAGGAAATACAGCTCTGATTTGATTGAGTTCTCAATCTCAACCCAGGCTCGACGGGCCCCAGAAAGCATGACGGGTTTGAACAAAGTTGGGCCAAAAATGTGCACTGATTGGCCGGGTCAGGTACGGCTCAAGCTGTGGAAAAAAAATAGATATTTAAAAAAAGCTCCATGCCAGGCTCTCTGTCCTTCCTCCTGGCTGGAGCAGGAAGCTTCTCTGGCAGGACAGTGGGGAGAGCCGGTGATCAGGTCCATTTTCTGTTGGAGACACGTGTCTTGTGTTGTCACACAGTCGGCTTAGGAGCCGACTAGGGGTGGGGTCGGGCTTGGTCCTAGTATCTTATGTGATGATGTCTGACAGGCCAGGTCTGGGCTTTAAACTCAAACAGGTCGGTCCAGTTCAGGTTGTAAATTTTTCTGGAGCTTTGACAACTGTAATTACACTACTATTTGGTACTGGGTTGTTTCACTCAATACCTTAAGTTATCAGGTCCCGACCAGCCCTAGTAAACCAGTGTGTCTGTGTATGGGTGCGACAGAGAAGAGAAGTTTGAAAGAGTAAAAAACACAAACACATTGTTTGTTTTGGTCTTTTCATGGGATGTGCTGAAAAAGAAAAATGATGGCCGGCATCGTCAAAAGCACAGGCACTCTATCATTTAAAAAAACGTCCATGCACACATGCATAACTCTGAGTATGATAGACCTGGTTATTAGAAAAGCTCAAGGCCGATGAGATGTTAATGTCCCTGTGTCAGGGCTAACCGCGACCGAGGCCATGAGGGAAGCAACTTGTGATAAATCTGGTGATTTGCATAATGTTTGCACGCTGTGCTTCCTTCAGTATATTCTGTGTCTGTGCATCATTATTAAACCCAGTGGAGGGAAAAGCACATCACTCAGTCCTGCTGGAGGACTGGGACTGCCAGCATTACCCTAGTGTCCTCTAAATCCCTCTGGAGTTTTTCAGCTTTGGTCTTTTCAAAGAGCAGGCTCTGCTCAAGCTCCTTTATGTGGGCATGCTCCAGTCTGGTCTGCGTCTGTTAGTAAGAGAGAGCAGGAAGAAGAGGAGAACAAACACCAATGCACTGACATGCCGGCTTTGTAGGCCACGAACAGAGAGAAGAAAAGACTTTAAAGAGAAGGCCAGTCAGTAAGAAAAGCACTGATCAGTCACATCAGTTGGTTGCAAACAAAAGTAGATATTGTTATTCACTCTTTCTGCTCTGAATATCAGGAGTTAATTATTTCAATCATCTCATTCTGACTCTCAGATTCCTCACTTTTATTTCTCTTCTCGTCACACTTGTTTGCTCGTATTCCAGCACTTGAACTCTAATTTTCTCTGACGGGTGAAGAAGATGCAGACAAGAGAGGAAGATGAAAGCACTGAAGGTGAGGGCAAAAACAGCTTTCAAGAACAGGCATGTGGATGAAACGATGCGGAGAGGATGGCTGTGTAAGTGCTGCGGAGGGGTGAAAAAATCTGAGAGAAAAGGTTGAGTGAATTAAGCGCGAATGAATAAATAAAAGGAGCGGGAAGAAAGATGCGTCGGAACAAGGAAGCAAATGAATGATTCAAAGAGCGAAGGAAAAGGAAAAACCTGAGACAGAATGATTGACTGAATCATCAGCTCGTATTTATTCTTTGGAGGAAAATGCAAAGCAGTAGTTTCACACTTTAAAGTCACTTAACAGAATAAAGAACTGAGTGAGAATGTGAAATAAGTTAATCAACTATACACCAAGTTTGTCAATAATTCACACATGAATTTGAGAAAAATAAATCCAGTCTGACAAGTGAAAGATACTGAAGATATCTGGAGTGAGTGAGAGAAATGTTTAATTAAGAAGAAGATTATATAACCAAAAGTTACCTCCAGGTCTCCTCTGGTGATGCAGGCCTCCTCCACACTGAACTGCAGATCTTCCACTTTTCTGTCAAACAGGGACAAATATAAAATATTCTCCAACTGGACACATGAAGACCTTTGCGTACTTTTTGTCTAAAACTGTTGCACGGGGAACAGGTTTGATTTTCTGTGTCTCTTCACACCCGTAAAGAGCCTTTATAAGACACTAATAAAGAGTTGTTAACAAAAACGTGGTGGAACCTGCAGGACACAAATATCGCAACAAAAGAGGGGAACAGGGTGCGCAGAATCATTTCATAACTCTGATTTCAACGGCTCAGACCGTGATATACAGGTGGATGATGATGACAAGGAGGAGGATGTAATAAAGGATGAAGACCATACACAGACAGAGAGAGACTGAGAGAGGACAGCAGTGTCGAGACGAGGGATGCTAACAATAAATCCATGATCGATTGACCTTTCACTAAGCCATGCCCCTTAACAACATTCATCTGCACACACTGTGATATATCAGTTCAATATCAGTTTCCCTGCTTCCCTTCACTGGTTCCTGTACAGCAGGGTCAGTCTTTGTTTCACTGTTATAATCATTACAAAGCAAAAGCAGCATGTGTATACATTCAGTAGGCTATATCTTCAGTAGCTAGCTAGCTAACCCGACACTTTTCAGGGTCTGATTTTGGTTTTGGAACAGGGAAGAAACGTATATCTTTTTCCAACCTCTCCAGGTAACGAGTATCATTAATACACAACGTGCCCCAGGCACAACATTTAGCTCCACATCCACAAAACCAGCCTGAAAATGAAGGAAATCTGAAACGACTGCATTAGAGTCAATGGAGCACAGCTGTGTTGCTGTCGGACTCTTGTCTGAGCTATTCGATGCTATGCTATGATTGGCTGGTCTGCGTTCGAAGGTAGGGACTTTACAAAGGATCAACTGGTCGTCAAGAATTTGATCGGACATGTGAATCTCAATTGAACAAATGCTCTGATTCCGAAATATAAACAATGCTAAGTCTCCGATTTAATTCTACATATCAGTAGAATTGTGCATTTTGAAAGTGTGTTTCAATGACTAGCATTAGCAAACAAAGGGCACAGTGTAACTATGATATGACAAGGCGGCCATTTCAGGGTCTCAAAGAAAAGTGTGGCGGCAACACCAGAAAACGACGCAGGCAAGGCGAAGCATTTTTCAGTTAAGTTCAATGTGTTTCACATGTCTTGGCCTGTATGTCTTTATATGTTTCATAGGCTGCAATGCTGTCAGAGAATATTCAACATGTCTCTGTGAGCTTTGATTGAGAAAACAGAACTTGTTTGTTATTGTTTGGTCTGAACAAAGTTTTAATGTTCTTTTTAAATCACAATCAATCACATTACTGATAGTTTATTGTCACCTATAATCAGTTAAGGAAAGTGCTGACAATTTGCAACCCTCGTCGAGACAGTCAAAGAGGACAGCTCAGCCTTTTCAATTAGCTGCAGTGCCAAATGTAAGGCGCTGGCAGAGAGTGGTGACAGCCAGGGAGGAACCTCCAGTGGAGAAGCAAAATAAGAAATGTGTCTTTCCATTTGTCTAGTGTTGCAAATATTCACAACAGATAGAATAACAAAATACATCGTACTCAGCGTGCAAGGTCAGTTGATGGATTAAAATCACGCATACATAGAAATACGGACTTGGTGTGCAAATACCTGTTGTCTGCTGCCCTGTCATGTGCAGTTCATAGGTGGAGTCAGACTTACCTCTTCTCCTCCTCCAGCTGGTTGAGCAGCTCCACTTTCTCTCGATCTGCTGCCTCCACCAGTGAACGCAGCTGGTCCAACTTTGCCTCCATCTCCATTGCATACTACAAACACACAGAATGAAGAACACTCAGCATGAGCTGACTCAGTGAATGCACACAAACAAATTGGTTTAAGCAGTTCTCCTGATTTAGACCAGGCACCAGGGTGAGGTGACTGAGGGGGCTGTTAAAACTTGTGAGGGGGTAATTATTTTCATAACATAAAACTCATTGATTTCACCAGGATATAGCCTCAGCAAGGCTGAATAACAGCAGCACAAGACTACTGTTTCAAATACATTTATTAATCAGAGCAGTCTAGTAGAGCATTAAATATATTTTGAATTTACTAACAATTCTCAGAATCAAAATCAGCAGGGGGAGGCGCATAGAAACAGCTGTTTGCAGCTTACTCTCTGTGGATTGCTATAACTGAGCGGGGTAAATGGAACTAGGGACGAAAGTTGTATTTCGAACAACAAAAAACAAGCAGGCTAAGAAACTGAACAAAGTGATATGTTCTGTCTGTCTGTCTATAGCCCTGTTTCCACCAAGCAGTATGGTACAGTTCTGTTCGCTACATTTTTTTCTGTCTCCACAGTGTAAAGTTGTGGATGGTCCCAACAGAAGCATTCCTTAGCGTCCCCATGTTTGGTCCCCCCTCTGTTGGGGTACCTAGCACACAGATCTGGTACTAAAAGGTGGAGCTAGAAACCCTGCAGTCTGATTGGTCAGTAGAGGACGCTCACTCTGGTTTTATGTAACCTCTGTTCATACATCAGTAAACTACAACTATAAAATGAAAGAGAAAAAA